TTTACATCTAATATCTACTTATGACTGAGTACATACTGTGTTTGTCTTTCTGGATCTGGTTTACCTCACTCAAGTTTTTCTTTTTCTAGTTCTATTCATTTGCCTGCAAATTTCATGATATCATTGTGGGTTTTTTGTTGTTGTTGTTGTTGTTTTTTAACAGCTGAGTGACACTCCATTGTGTAATTGTACCACATTTTCTTTTATCCATTCTTCTGTTGAGGGGCATCTAGGTTGTTTCCAGGTTCTGTCTGTTATGAATAATGCTGCTATGAATATTGTTGAATAAGTGTCTTGTGGTATGATTGAGTATCCTTTTGGTAGATGTCCATGAGTAGTATAACTGGGTCTTGAGGTAGATTGATTCCCAGTTTTCTGAGAAACCAACACATTGATTTCCAAAATGCCTGTACAAGTTTGCACTCCCACTAGCAATGGAAGACTGTTTCCCTTTCTCCACATCCTCCCCAACATTAGCTGTCCTCAGTATTTTTGATCTTAGTCATTCTAACAGGTGTCTCTCAGAGTTGTTTTGATTAGTATTTCCTTGATGATTAAAAATGTTGAACAACAAATCCTTAAATTCTCTCAGCCTTTTGAAATTCTTCTGATGAGAATTCCCTGTTTAGCACTGTACCCCATTTTTAATTGTATTCTTTTGTGTTTTGATGTCTAGTTTCTTGAGTTCTTTGTATATTTTGGAGATCAGCCTTCTGTCAGATGTGGGGTTGGTGAAGGTCTTTTCCCATCCTGTAGGCTATTGTTTTGCCGTATTTGCCATGCCCTTTGCCTTACAGTTGCTTTTCAGTTTCAGGAGATCCCATTTATTGATTGTTGCTTTCAGTGTCTGTGCTACTGGTGTTATATTAGGGAAGTGGTCTCCTGTGTCAATGTGTTCAAGGCTACTTCCCAATGTGATTGGATTTATGTTGAGGTCCTTGATTCACTTGAACCTTAGTTTTGTGCATGATAATAGATCTGTTTGTAATCTTCTACATGTTGACATCCAGTTATGCCAGAACCATTTGTTAAAGATGCTTTCCTTTTTCTATTATACATTTTTTGCTTCTTTGTCAAAAATCAGGTGTTCATAGGTGTGTGGATTAATGTCAGAGTTTTTGATTTGATTCCAGTGGTCCATGTATCTGTTTTATGCCAGAACCAAGCTGTTTTTATTACTGTAGATCTATAGCTACAGTAGAGTTTGAAGTCAGGGATGGTGATGCCTCCGGAAGTTCCTTTATTGTACAAGATTGTTTTAACTATTCTGGGTTTTTGTTTTTTTTTTATATGAAGTTGAGTAATGTTCTTTCAAGGTCTGTGAAGAATTGTGTTGGGATATTGATGGGGATTGCATTGAATCCCTAGATTGCTTTTGGTAAGATTGCTGTTTTTATCATGTTAATCCTACCAATCCATGAGATTGGGGGATCTTTCCTCTTCTGATATCTTCTCCAATTTCTTTATTCAAACACTTGCAGTTCTTGTCATATAAGTCTTTCCCTTGCTTGGTTTGAGTTTACCCAAGATATTTTATATTGTTTGTAGCTATCTTGAAGGATGTTGTTTCCCTGATTTCTTTCTTAGCTCTTTTATCATTTGTATATAAAAAGGATAACTTTTTTAAGGTTAGTTTTATAACCAGCCACTTTGCTAAAGGTATTTATCAGTGTAGGAGTTTTCTGGTAGAATTTTGGGATTGCTTGTGTACGCTATCATGTCATCTGCAAATAGCGATACTTTGACTTCTTCCTTTCAATTTGTATCCCCCTGATCTCTTTTTGTGGCCTTATTGCTCTAGCTAGAACTTTGAGTACTATATTGTGTAGATATGGAGAGAGTGGACAACCTTGTCTGTTCCTGATTTTAGAGGAATTGCTTTGAGTTTCTCTCCGTTTAATTTTATGTTGCCTATCTGGCTTGCTGTAAATTGCTTTTATTATGTTTAAATATGCTCCTTGTATCCATGATATCTCCAAGACCTTTATCATGAAGGGGTGTTGGATTTTGTCCAAGGCTTTTTCAATATCTAATGAGATGATCGTATGGTTTTTCTTTCAGTTTGTTTATATGGTGGATTACATTGACAGATTTCCATGTGTTGAACCATCCCTGCGTCTCTGGGATGAAGCCTCCTTGGTCATGGTGGATGATTTTTTGATGGGTTCTTGGATTCAGTTTGCCAGTGTTTTATTGAGTATATTTGCATCAGTGTTCGTGAGGGATATTGGTCTGTAGGTCTCTTTCTTTGTTGCATCTTTGTGTGGGACAATTTGAGGAGTATTGGAACTAGCTCTTTGTTGAAATACTGATAGAAGTAAACCAATCTACTCATGGCCCCTTTTTGTTTGGGAGAATTTGAATGAGTGCTTCTATTTCCTTAAGGGTTATAGGTATATTTAAATTGTTATCTGGTCTTGATTTAATTTTGGTATGTGGTGCCTTTCCAGAAAATTGTCCATTTCTTTCAAATTTTCCAGTTTTGTAGAGTACAGGTTTTTGAAGTATGACCTAATGGTTCTCTGGATTTCCTCAGTGTCTGTTGTTATGTCTCCCTTTTTCATTTCTGATTTTATTAATTTGGATATTCTCTCTCTGCCTTTTGGTTAGTTAGGATGTGGGCTTGTCTATCTTGTTGATTTTCTAGGAGAACCAACTCTTTGTTTCAGTGATTCCTTGTATTGTTCTCATTGTTTCTATTTTATTGATTTCAGCCCTCAATTTCTTGGAGTCTACTCTTCCTGGATGAGTTTGCTTCTTTTTGTTCTAGAACTTTCAGGTATTCCATTCATTTGTTAATGTGGGATTTTCGAACTTCTTCATGTAGACACTTAGTACTATGAACTTTCCTCTTAGCACTACTTTCAAAGTGTCCCGTAATTTAGGGTATGTTGTGCATTCATTTTCATTGAACTATAGTAAGTCTCTAATTTCTTTCTCTTTATTTCTTCCTTGATTCAGTGGTGATTCAGTTGAGAATTATTCAGTTTTCATGACTTTTCAGGCTTTCTGGAATTTGTGTTGTTGAATTCTAACTTTAAGTCATGGTGTTCCAATAAGATACAAGGTTTATTCCAATTTTTTGTTATATGTTGAGGTTTGCTTTGTGACTAAGTATGCGGTCAATTTAGAGATGCCGAGAAGAAGGTATATTCTTTTGTGTTTGAGTGGAATATTCTGTAAATGTTAGTTAAGTCCGTTTGGGTCATAACATCTGTTATTTCCCTTATTTTTTTGTATTTGCCCTTATTTCTCTGTTAATTTTCTGTTTGACAGATCTGTCCATTAGTGAGAGTGGGCTGTTGAAGTCTTCCACTATTAGTGTGTGGGGTTTGATGTGCAATTTAAGTTTTAGTAATGTTTCTTTTACAAATGTGGGTGCCTTTGTATTTGGCCATAAATTTTTAGGATTGAGACTTTATCTTGATGGATTTTCCCTGTGATGAATATGAAATATTCTTCTTCATCCTTTTGAATACTTCTAGTTTGAAGACTATTTTGTTAGATATAGGATAGCTACACCAGCTTGCTTCTTAGATTCATTTGATTGGAAAGTTTGGTTTGAGGAAATGCCTGTCTTTGAGGCTGAGGTGTGTTTCCTGTATGCAGCAGAAGGATGGATCCTGCTTTCATATTCATTCTGTTAGCCTGTGTCCTTTTTTTTTTTTTGAGAATTGAGTTCATTGATATTAAGGGGTATTAATTACCAGTAACTGGTAATTGTTAAAATTGTTAATTCCTGTTATTTTTGGTGTGTGTGTGTGTGTGTTTGTGTGTGTGTAGTGTGTGTGTTTCCCTTCATAGGATTTGCTGTTGTGAGATTATCTGTTGCCTGTGCTTCCATGGGTACAGGTAACTTCCTTGGGTTGGAGTTTTTTTCTAATGCTTTCTGTAGGGCTGGATTTGTGGATAGGCATTTGTTTAAGTCTGGTTTTGTCATGGAATATCTTGTTTTCTCCATTTATGGTGATTGAAAATTTCACTGGGTATAATAGTGTGGGTTGGCATCTGTGGCCTCTTAGTGTCTACATACCATCTGTCCAGAATCTTCTTGATTTCAGGGTCTCCATTGAGAAGTCAGCTGCTATTCTGATGGGTTTGCATTTATATGTTTCTTGGCCTTTTTTCCTTGCAACTCTTAACATTCTTTCTTTATTCTGTATATTTTGTGTTTTGATTATTATGTGGCAAGGGGATTTTTGGGGGTACAGTCTATTTGGTGTTCCTTAAGCTTCTTGTATTTTAATAGGCCTTTTCCTCTTTAGGTTGGAAATGTTTTCATCTGTGATTTTTTTGAATATGTTTTCTGTGCCTTTGAGCTGGTACTGTTCTGCTTCTTCTATACCAATTATTCTTCAGTTTGATTTTTTCATGGTATCTCAGATTTCCTGGACATTTGGTGTTATGATTTTGTTAGCTTTAATGTTTTCTTTGACCAATGAATCTATTTCCTCTATCATATCTTCAACCCCTGAGATTCTCTCTTCTATCTCTTGCATTCTGTTCATTGCAGTCAGTGTCTTTGTCTCAGCGACCCTCTTTTGGTCTGATTGGAGCAGTTGCTGTCTGTGTCTCAGGGAGCCTCTCTTGGTCCATTCTGTGCAATCATTGTCTGTGTCCCATGGAGCTGCTGTGGTCCGAACAATTTTCTTCTTAAAGAAGATGTTTGTGCAAATCTTCATATCCTACCAGCCAAATAAGCTCTAATGAACATTAGACCATTTAGAAAGTGCATGAAAACCTTTCATGACCTTAGGTCACGTGTTCATAAGTTCTTTTCCTGATACCAAGCCTCAGTTTTAGGCCTAAAACTTTACTCACATTACTCATATGATGAGCATTTTGAGTTTAGGTAAAAAAAGAAATAGAAATAAAGGCCCCACAGACATAAACTCTTCTCAAAATATAACAAACAGTACACTGATGTTCTAGGCACAAGTTACTGAAAGGCAGATAGGTAAAGAGGTTCTAACTCTGCTGTGTCTTGCTCTTCATTTAAGGCACAATTCAATCCGAAGACAACTCAACCTGTCGAATCCAGACTTTAATATCCACCAGCTTCAGAGGCAGGAGCAGTTGACTGGGATTGGTAAAATTAAACCAGAATTATATAAGCAGAGGTCACTGGACAATGATGACGGGAGGAGGAGTAACAGCAAAGCCTGTGGAAAACTGAACTTCATTTTAAAATATGACTGTGACTTGGAGCAGCTCATTGTGAAGATCCACAAAGCTGTCAATTTGCCCGCCAAGGACTTCTCCGGGACATCAGATCCTTATGTGAAGATCTACTTGCTTCCTGATCGGAAAACAAAACACCAGACTAAAGTTCACAGGAAGACCCTGAACCCTGTATTTGATGAGGTGTTTTTATTTCCTGTTCCCTACAATGACCTTGAAGCTCGGAAGCTTCACTTTTCTGTGTATGACTTTGACAGGTTCTCTCGCCATGACTTGATTGGGCAAGTGGTGGTGGACCACTTCTTCGACTTGGCTGATTTCCCCAGGGAGTGCATCCTCTGGAAGGATATCGAGTATGTCACTAACGTGAGTCTAGCATTCCTTTGCTTGGGGTGGAGGGGTTACACCTTGGTTTTCACAGAAAGTCTGCCTACACATTATGTTATTGGGAGGAAACTATAAAAGTCACACTAATTCTCTGTGTTCTTTAGAAGCTCTTTGTATGTCTGGAGGGATAGGCTTTTAACAACATTGATTTTGATATATACAAGAATTATTTACAGAAACTATGAAGGAATCGCTTCTCGTGTTTCTCAGCTGTTCTTTATCAGTCCTCACAACATTTCCTTAAGGGCTATCTCAGGTTGTATTAACTGGGTCCTGGCCTCCCATTCATAGGTTCTACAGGTGAAATTCTATCACCAAGTCCCTGTCTGGGTTCTCCTATTGGCTCAACAGAGCATTCAGGATGAGATCCTCAATTTTAACCCTGAGCCTGGGTGTGGTTGAGAAGACTTAGCGTTTTAATTTCAAACATAAAGCTCATTAATTAAAATTATAAAGTAGTCAGTCTGAAAAGATGACAAAATGATCTACAGAAGGTCAAGTCTCATGTCAGACTTAGGAGAGAAGGCAGAAAGTCTATGTAGACATATTTACATTTCAAACGTGGGATACCATGGGATGCCTTTACTCCGTTTTAATCCTTGTCACTCTCTGCTGAGCAGTCCTGAAGCTCCAAGCTGAGCAAAACTGGATTTTCTTGGGGAACTGATGATTTCAAGATGCCTGATCAGATTTCCTGAGGCAATTCTTAGTGCCTTTTCTTGAGGCCAGTGTTGCCCTCTTCACCTTGACATCCAAAGGGACCAAGCTCAGGCATTGATTCAACTTTGGATTGAGCCTTGAGGGAGTCAAAGACTCACTCTGCTAAAGAGGACCCCCAAATCTTTTACCCCAGGACCAAGTATCCCCATGGTACTCCTCAGTCCTCAGACATATTTATGACCTGGGGACTTCCTCATATCTTAGTAGTTCTCTCCACATGCCCTAAAGTACCTGTGCCAGCTTTGCTGTGCTATCTAGGTAAGGAAAGGGTGACTAAGGTCATAGTGGCCTCCATCTCCATGTCTGGAAGGAAGAGAAGGTATAGAGAATAACTCTTAATTCAGTGATTTGCAATATTGTGGAAGGAACAGACTTCTTCATCCTGAAAAGTTATAACATTTATAAACTCAAAAATGGATGCTAAGGAGAGCAGGGGTTATCTTCAAAGCCCAGCTGCCCAAATTAGGAGGCAAATGAAGAGACTTAAACAAATGAAATAGAAAGGATGTATATAAGTAAGACTTGGTGTCACCAAAATAACACATTTTGGAACATTTAACAAATCTATATGAGTTCAGAAATCAGCCATGATGATGAAACTTGCTGAGATCTGATCTCAGGTTTGGGTAAGGAGGCATGATTCACACCATCCAGACAGACTCTGTGATGTTCTGGCAAGTAGAGCTGTAAAAGAGCTAGAGAAGTTCTAGGAAGCTCAGTGAGGATCCTGTTGCCATCTAGGGGTTTTGTGGAGAAAGCAACAGTGAGGCTGACCATAGTTCAGGTAAGGCAAGTCCCTGGTAGAAAGGTCTCCTCAAAAAGTCCTGTGGGACAGGAGTAGAGTGTCAGGCTATGGAGACCTTCTAGACATGAGATCAATACCATTACAGCCCTCTTCCAGAATGAAGAGTTTCTAGATCATTGTTGAAAAATTCTGGATGGCAAAAGAGTTAAGAAGAATGGGTGATTGGTCATGAAGCATTTACCCAGACTTTTGGATGACCATGGGAGAGGGGAGGTGCTATGAGTGGAATTACAGACATTTTCATAATCTACCTCATAATTCTTATGTGATTGTGTCCAGAAAATGAGAACAGAGAACTGAGATTCATTAAGACTTTGCTTTTATAATGCAGAAGCATGAAATACCATGTGTGTAATATATGTCAGCAGAACAATGAAAGAATAGTTAAATGATCATGCATGAATAAGAGAACACACTCCTAATTTTATCCTTAGTATTCTGTCACCATAGTCCCTTCCACTACTACCCTGAGTTTTTTTTTGTTTGTTTGTTTGTTTTGTTTTTGTTTTTGTTGTTGTTGTTGTTTTGGTTTTACGAGACAGGGTTTCTCTGTATTGTTTTGGAGGCTGTCGGTCCAGCCTGGCCTCGAACTCACAGAGATCCGCCTGTCTCTGCCTCCCGAGTGCTGGGATTAAAGGCGTGCGCCACCACCGCCCGGCTACCCTGAGTTTTATTGTGAAGTGTGTGTGCATGTGTGTGCATGTGCATCTGTTGAAGTTTTGTTCCTGCTTTTCATAGCTCTTCTCTGACTTATCTTTTTTTTTTACATTCAACATTAATTGTAACATTTAATAATAGAGATGAATTCAGTGGGCATGGTTTGTGTATTTTCATTATATACAATATTCCAATGTTCTAACATATGACAAATAAGCATTCTTTCTGGAAAGATTTTATCCATTGACTTTTATTTTATGGTTAAATATGTTTAGTTGCATGTATGTCTGTGCTTGGTATCTATGAAGACCAGAAGAGGTTGTTGGAGCTGAAGGTACAGGCAGATGAGAGTCACCTTGTGGGTCCTGGGAACTGAACCTGGGGCCCTGCAAGAGCAGTAAGTGTTCTTAACTATGAAGACATTGTTCCAGCCCCTTAGCATTCTTACATTGATGGTATTCATGTTATTAATTGTTTATGATTCAGAATAGTGTAACAGAGAATGATTTTATGAACATCTTATTGGTTCACAGGTACTACAATTTTTTTAAGTGTATTCCCTTTTAAAGTTAACATACAGGTGTTCAACATTCCCAAGTAGTTACAAGGCCATTTCCAAAGTGGCTGCTTTAATAGATCCCCCTGCTGGTGAGATGTTCCCATTCCCAGTGCTCTACTTTCTCAAGAACTCTTGCTCTCCTCATGCTGGTTAGGATGTATGTGTGTCCAAGTGAAGTGCCATATGACTGCTTCTTTCTTGGCTGCCAAAGTTGACTATCTTTTTTTGTGTTTATTTGTCATTCTGCCTTCCTTACTTGTGAAATGCTTGTTCTGCACACTCTTCTGGTGTTTCTCTTCCGTGATGATCTAAGATCTTTTTATAGTCTATATGCAAGTCTGTATTAGTTACATGCACTATAGTCATCTATCGGTTTACAGCAGTATGTGTATTGACTGTGGTAACTTACTGTAATTTTTATTTGTGCATGGCAGGGTAAGCGGGTGCTTATGTGTGCCAAATGCGGAGGTAAAGGATGACTTTACAAAGCTGGTTCTAGCTTTGCACCTCATTAGGCAAGGTCTCTTTTGGTTTTGCTCCTTCGCATCATACTCTAGGCTAGGCTGCCTTTGAGCCTGTCTCCCATTTCGATGTAGGACCATTGAGACTACATATATACGTGCCACCATCCTGCTTTTTTTTTTTGTGGTTTTTCGAGACAGGATTTCTCTGTATTGTTTTGGAGGCTATCTGTCCAGCCCAGCCTCAAACTCACAGAGATCCGCCTGCCTCTGTCTCCCGAGTGCTGGGATTAAAGGCGTGCACCACCACTGCCCGGCCACCATCCTGCATTTTACATGGGTTCTAGGTGTGGAACTCAGGTCTCCAGGCTTGTTCAACCACTCCCTTTACCCACTAAACAATCTGTCTGGACTCCATGGTGACTTTTTTTTTTTTTTTGGTTTTTTACGAGACAGGGTTTCTCTGTATTGTTTTGGAGGCTGTCGGTCCAGCCTGGCCTCGAACTCACAGAGATCCACCTGCCTCTGCCTCCCATGCTGGGATTAAAGGCATGCACCACCACTGCCCGGCTCATGGTGACTTTTAATATAAATTCTTATGCCTGTTGTCATAAAATGTATCAGTGTTTCCCATTGTAAAGTAGCATGGCTGTGTCTTGGTTAAGAAATATCAGTATGTTGTGAAAGTATTTCTCCTTTATTTTCTATTGGGAGTTTTCTTTGTGGGATTTGTTTGGTTATGTGTTTGAGATAGATTTTTCACTGTGTATCCACGGCTGACCTTGAACTCACTATAGAGAGTATGTATATCAAGTGGTCCTCAAACTTACAAAGATTCTCCTGCCTCTGCCTCTCAAGAGCTGGAATTTCAAGACGATGCTATCATGCATGGACAGAAGTTTTGAAATCTTCATATTTTGAAATTAAAATATGATGATTTCATTTTCTCCTTTACTCCCCTCTATCTTTTCCATGTACACACCCCACATCTCTCTCAAATTTATGGCCTCTGGCCTATTTTAAATTGGCGTTATACATAAATGTGTATCAAATATAATTTCTGTCTTCCCAGAATAGATTTTTCTAATCATATAACAGAGGCATCTTGAATTGGTCTGCTCTGGCTGCCATAACAAGATCCCATGGGTTTAGCAGCTAAGTGAACATTGATTTCTAACAGTTCTGGAGCCAGAGAAGTCTAAACTCAAGGTGTAGACAAGGCTCACAGCTGATTGGGCTCTCTCCCAGCTTGCCTTCCTAGCATCCTCACATGCTGAAGAGAGCCTGAGCTCTAACCTTATAAGAAGAACACTAACTAGTTCCTCCATGGGGTCCACACTTATGATTTCTTCTAAATCCAACCACTGTTCAAAAATCCACTCCAAGTTGCCATGACGCAGGAGAATTTGACTCCAGTTCATTTATGATGCACCCTACATTTATTTTTCTAGATGGATAAGGAATTTTCTGGAGTGTTTCCCCAGTGATGTGCAGCATAGTGCATACTCTCTTATATGTGGATTTCCATATAAGAGGAATATCCTTCTGGATTCGATTCCTTTTCCTATCCATTGTTCTGCTGGACTGCACTTTCAAATTGCATAGTTTGCCAATTACTCCTATTCCAGAACGCACCTTACCATCCAAAAAGGCAAAAACTTACTTCAGTTTTTGCTGATGCTCGGTTTTTCACATAAATTTTTGAATTGCATTGTCATACAAAAATTCTTTCTTTTAGAATCTTAAACTATCAGTATATTAAAAGAATCAGATCACA